TGTCTATAAATCCAAAGCATTTAATGGCTGGATTCCAGTCTGGTTTCCAAAGTGCATGTGCTGCTTTTTATCTTGTGTGTGCGTCTGTGTGTATATGCTTTCATGCATGTGAACGTGTGCTTTTGCATGCATTAATTGAATCCTTTAGTTTGGAACTATGCAGCTGTGCACATATAAGGACGTGTGTGCACATGTGGAAAACATACATATAGTCATGCACATACTAGTGAATAAAACTCTTCATCATGTTACTGTAATGCATGCAAACACAAAACAACACATGAAGAATGAACACTGCATTCTCAGTGCTGCCACAAGTGGCGCTGTAGCAGCATCGACAGGCAGTGCACTATACTACATACTCAACATATTCACTGTACAAAAGAGAGAAAAAGAAAATTGGACTGACAACATGTTTGGACTTGATTCAAATCAAAACCTCACTCTGTACTTTGTTGCACACATCTCATGACAGATTTGAGAGACACATACAGTATGCTCCAGTCAAATGAAAATGTTTAGTATGAAATTTGATTAATTCACACTGACAGCTTCATTTTGGACATCTACAAGTTTATTTTCTGTGTTGATTTATTTCCATTTGGAAATTCAGTCTTATTCTGTAGAACATTTTATTGAAATAACATTTGGATACGCCCCTTTAAACATAATGATGTCCATTTTGGTCCATTTTCCCAAAAGAGAAAATCTGTGAATTTTAAATGTATTTATTTTGTTCACTTTTAGTACCTTAATGATATTAGGTAAATGCAACAAATGTCCAATTTTAATATGTATATCTTTATAATAAATTTTTATTATATATTTTAAAATATATTATATCGTTTTTAAATCTTAAAAAAAAAAAACTAACTTCAAATTATTATTTTTTTCTTTTGCTACATTGAAAATGCTGATGAGAGAATGATGTTATCTAACCATCAAGTTCTGCCCTAGAAACCTCTTTCACTCGTTTGCTTTAACAAAGTGGTATTGTTCCTCTGTTTCTTACCACCACTCTCTCTATCTCTGTTTATATCCTCATTTAAATAATGCAATTGTGTTTCTTAATTTTAAATGCACAGCGGTTTTAAATGAAGAAACGTGTATTAGTCAGACATGAGATGATGCAGCACTGATTCAAATGGGATATTAACAACGTCTGCTGGACTCTCTGCATTAAGAAATCAATTTCAGTCGCAATGTTTCAGAGCTCTGAAGAGAGTCCATGAACTGTCAGAGCAGATTACGGCGCTGTCGCTTGACTGAAAGCATTCTGGAATTCAGTGCATCCCATTTTTATTTCATGATGTTTGCAGATAAAAGACACCCCGCATTTGCATAGCCAAACACGCATACAGTATGACTGGAACAGCAGTGCATGTTGGGAGACACAGGCTGTGAGTGTAGATGCACTCGAAGAAACTTTAGATATCAACAAACTACACATGCATTTAATATTTCATTTCATTTTCATACTCTGCTCTTCAAAGAAACTGAACTAGAATGACTTCCAGCGTTGATTTGTAGTCACAATGTCTGAATGCAGCAGTGAACTGTATTTGCTGAATTGCATGTCTTGTTGTGGCAAATAAATGCATCTTCACTCATTTAATTTCTCTCTTCGCCTTCAGATCACAGGAGAGAAGCGACCCTCCTCTGACATGATGAAGCCCAAGCCCAAACCTCAGAAGAAGAAGAAGAAGAAGGACCCCAATGAGCCGCAGAAGCCTGTCTCAGCCTACGCACTCTTCTTCAGGGACACTCAAGCCGCCATCAAGGGGCAGAACCCCAACGCCACCTTCGGAGACGTCTCCAAGATCGTGGCCTCCATGTGGGACAGTCTGGGAGAGGAACAGAAACAAGTGAGTAGTTTCAGAACTAGGGTTGCAAAAAGAAACTTTCCAGGATTTTTTGGAATATTCCAGGGAACGTTTCCCGGAAATTTACCGAAAATTTTCCACCCCTTTGCAACCCTATTCAGAACAGCATTTTGTAGCTCAGAAGCTGTTCTTTTATTGCTCAGGAGTTTTAGTTGTATAGTATTTCATTAAAGTACCAGCTTTGTCTGAGATGTTTGTACAGTAGAGTGAAACAAAAACAAAACCATGGATGGATGGATGTATTGGGTGGATGGATGGATGGATGGATGTATGGATGTATTGGGTGGATGGATGGATGGATGGATGGATGAAAGGATAGATGAATGGGTGGATGGATGGATGGATGAATGGGGGGATAGATGGATGGACGGATGAAAGGATGGATGGATGAAAGGATGGATGGATGAATGGGTGGATGGATGGATGAAAAGATGGATGAATGGGTGGAAATGGATGGATGAAAGGATGGATGGATGGATGAAAAGATGGATGAATGGGGGGATGGATGGATGGAAGAAAGGATGGATGGATGGATGAATGGATGTATTGGCTGGATGGATGAAAAGATGGATTAATGGGGGGATGGATGGATGGATGAATGGATGTATTGGCTGGATAGATGGGTGGATGGATGAATTAAATGGATGGATGGGTGGATGGATGAAATGGATGGATAGATGAAAGGATGGATGAATGGGTGGATGGATGAAAGGATGAATGGGTGGATGATGGATGGATGGATGGATGAATGAATGGGTGGATAGATGAAAGGATGTATGGATGGATAGGTGAAAGGATGGATGGATGGATGAAACGATGGATGGATGAAAAGATGGATGAAATGGATGGATGGATGGATGAATGGGTGGATGGATGAAAGGATGGAGTAGATGGAATGGATTTATGAAATGATGGCTGAAGTGGATGGATGGATGGATAGATAGATTGATGATTTTGATTAAATTAATGCATCGTTGCTGAATAAAAGTGTTTTTTTCTCCTCAAACATCTGAATGGTAGTATCTATAGATAGATTGTTCTGCAGTCAGTTGATTTGTGTTGAGTGATTCTTTAGTTTGTATTGATGTGCATGGGAACATATGTGTGTAAGTGTGTGTGTGTTTGTGTCAGTAATGAGCTTTGTATACAGTAAGCTCGACTGAAGTGTGTGTGTGTGTGTGTGTGTGTGTGTGTGTGAGGGCCACTGTATTTTTAGCATATCCTCTATAACACACGGCTGCTATTGCATGTCAAATAAGAGCACCTGCCTCGGTGACAGAGTGCGGTGTGTTCACCCTCACCGGCTGATATTTCTCCCGCTCGCTCGCTCGCCTTTTTTCTTCTTCTGAGAGCTGCTGTGTCCTTTTATTTGCAGTTAATTTTTGCCTCCTTCACTCTCCCCTCTTCACCATGAATCTTCATTTTGCCGCTGACACCCTTGAATGTGAATTCCTCATTTCTCGGGCTCTTTTTATTTATATCTGTTGCCT